CATCTTACTGCCTCAGCTTTTCCTCTTACCTTTATTAACAGACACACTTACGTACCCAGTCCTTACAAACCCCCAACAGCTCATAGATCCACTTGTATTTTACCTTATTCACCCTACACAGTCAACATAGCCAGACTTCTTAAAACCCATGGCATCCAGACCTTTTTCAGCAACACCAATAACATATCCACACACCTCAGACATCCCATAACTAAAGCAGACATTCCTCCCAGCCCCCTTCAAAGTACAGGAGCAGTCTACTCTGTCTCATGTGAGCAGTGCTCTGCCACATATGTGGGTGAGACAGGTAGAACTGTAGCCATCAGAATGACAGAGCATTCCCGCAATATAACTAACAAAGACCCCAAATCCCTCATCCACCAACACATAGCATCTACAGGACACACATTCGATGTTAACCATCCAGTAATCCACTATAGACATATCCACAACCAACACCAACGATTGGTGTTGGAATCCATAGTCTCACACAAACACAATAGCATAAATAGAAAGATAGAAATTCCTGATATATATGGTGTTTTCTTGGCTGAAACACCTGTAACATCTTAGTTTATTTCAATAGCCCAAACCACGCGCCGTCTCGTAGTTTCAGACAGCAGATTTATTATTTATTTTTCAAAAAACGGTCTTCTTTCAAGATTAACATATATATATTGTTATTTTTCTTAATATAGTTATATTTTTGCCTGTCGAAGGGCTTTTGCCCGAAAGCTTGCATATCGTTTATTAAAAGAAACTTATCTTACTTCACGTGTTGTCCAGCTTTATAATTTACTAGTAAGAGTCCCTGCAATTTTTCTAAAATCTCTCTCTATCACAAGAAATTATATATTTTAAATATTTTCAAATTTTAGAAAAATCTGAGGGTAAAGGTTAAACACATGGGACTACAAAATATAATGACTTGAAATTTTAAAATTATTAATTGTTTAACATATTATTTAAAATTTTTAATAGAATTTTTAAATATTTATTTTTTTCATGATATATATATATATATATACTAGACGAATGGCCCGGGCAACGCCCGGGTTTTACCCGAGTGCGTATATATTTTTAAAATGTTTTAATTAAAATACTATTCGTTACAATTATAAATTGGCGCCGTGGATGTCTCTCTTGTGAAACGTCCCGCCCCAAACTGTGTGTGTCTTGAAAATATAAAAATAAAAATGTGAACGGAAAAATATGTCCAGGGTAGCCTAATGGTCATGGCATCTGCCCGGTAAGCGGAAGGTCGTGGGTTCGATTCCCATCCCTTGACACTTTTTTTATTTTATCCATTCTGACCAAAATCTATCCGTGAACTTCACACAGTGAACTTCACACAGAGAGAATAAGGCAATTATATAAGTAGATAATCCAAATTGTGCCTTTTCACACACTATTTTTTATTTGGCCTTATTACCTTGTGTTTATAATCTATGACGTAATGCCAGCGGCGCGCGCCCGTTGGCTGCCGGCGAGCACGTGACCTCCCTGTGCGCGCGCATCCGTGACAGAACCGGCCCATGACGGTCGTAACTATTTATGTTGATGATGGATAATAATAATAATAATAATATAATAATAATAATAATAATAATAATAATAATATTAATTATTATTATTATTATTATCATTAGATAATGATAATGATCATAATGATGATGCGCGCGCATCCGTGACAGAACCGGTCGTGACTATATATATTTATGATAATAATAATAATATAATAATAATAATTATTATTATTATTATCATTAGATAATGATAATGATCATAATGATGATGCGCGCGCATCCGTGACAGAACCGGCCGGCCGGCCCATGACGGTCGTGACTATATATGTTGATAATAATAATAATATAATAATAATAATTATTATCATTATTATTATTATCATTAGATAATGATAATGATCATAATGATGATGCTCGCGCATCCGTGACAGAACCGGCCCATGACGGTCGTGACTATATATAGGGACGAATGGCCCGGGCAACGCCCGGGTTTTACCCGAGTGCGTATATATTTTAAAAATGTTTTAATTAAAATACTATTCGTTACAATTATAAATTGGCGCCGTGGATGTCTCTCTTGTGAAACGTCCCGCCCCAAACTGTGTGTCTTGAAAATATAAAAATAAAAATGTGAACGGAAAAATATGTCCAGGGTAGCCTAGTGGTCATGGCATCTGCCCGGTAAGCGGAAGGTCGTGGGTTCGATTCCCATCCCTTGACACTTTTTTATTTTATCCATTCTGACCAAAATCTATCCGTGAACTTCACACAGTTAACTTCACACAGAGAGAATAAGGCAATTATATAAGTAGATAATCCAAATTGTGCCTTATCACACGCTATTTTTTTATTTGGCCTTATTACCTTGTGTTTATAATCTATGACGTAATGCCGGCGGCGCGCGCGCGTTGGCTGCCGGCGAGCACGTGACCTCCCTGTGCGCGCGCATCCGTGACAGAACCGGCCGGCCCATGACGGTCGTGACTATATATATACTAGACGAATGACCCGGGCAACGCCCGTGTTTTACTCGATTGAATGTTTTTATTCAAATACTATTTGTTACAATTATAAATTGGAACCGTGGATGTCACTCTTGTGAAACGTCCCGCTCTAAACTTTACATGTACATTAGGTCAGCTGGTATTACCCCTCATTTTCACCGCTAGAGGCGCGAGCGAATTGACTTTTTGTAAATATACATAATTATAAAGATAGAAGCTTCTATAGAAGAGATAATGATCATAATGATGATGCGCGCGCATCCGTGACAGCGATGAGGAATTGAGGAAAGACGGTCGTGACTATATATTAATGACGAATGACCCGGGCAACGCCCGGGTTTTACCCGATTAAATGTTTTTATTCAAATACTATTTGTTACAATTATAAATTGGCGCCGTGGATGTCACACTTGTGAAACGTCCCGCTGCAAACTTTGTGTCTGAGAAGCGATATTTTTATAGAAAGATGATCTGGCTTTTGTTTTCTGCTCGAATGAATGTTTTTCTGTTAGGATTTTGTTCCTGCGTACAAAATAATGAACTGGTTTCACCCGTGGTCTCTGCTTTTTGGAATTTTTCCCGATATAATTTTGTATCTGATAATCAAACATGATACAGCAATATCGTCATCATCATTTTCTGACTAAAAATATATAGTTTTAATAATTGATTTATATATTTTTTAAAATAGCCTATCGTCTTCCCCGTATTTTTTTTACCTATGTATGGACATTTTGGTTTGAATTAGTGAACTACTGCGAATTTGTATACCGGACATACAAACAAACATACAAACAGACAAACATACAAACATTCATTTTTATATATATAGAGATTTACTCTTCATTGTTGGATTTTTCAATTATATTTACTCTTCATTGTTGGCTTTTTATCTTACATTCACTCTTCATTGTTGGCTTTTTATCTTACATTCACTCTTCATTGTTGGCTTTTTATCTTACATTCATTCTTCATTGTTGGCTTTTTATATTACATTTACTATTCATTGTTGGCTTTTTATCTTACATTCACTCTGTTGGCTTTTTATATTACATTTACTCTTCATTGTTGGCTTTTTATCTTACATTCACTCTTCATTGTTGGCTTTTTATATTATATTTACTCTTCATTGTTGGCTTTTTATATTACATTCACTCTTCATTGTTGGCTTTTTATCTTACAATCAATCTTCATTGTTGGCTTTTTATATCATATTTACTCTTCATTGTTGGCTTTTTATCTTACATTCATTCTTCATTGTTGGCTTTTTATATTACATTTACTCTTCATTGTTGGCTTTTTATCTTACATTCATTCTTCATTGTTGGCTTTTTATATCATATTTACTCTTCATTGTTGGCTTTTTATCTTACATTCATTCTTCATTGTTGGCTTTTTATATTATATTTACTCTTCATTGTTGGCTTTTTATCTACATATACACAAAATTAACATCGTTAAAACACTCACCAGCGGCCTTCACACACACTGCTCTCTACCCATCTTTAAAAACCACAGAAAAAGCCCGTATCATCTCCCATCTCACCGCCGCCTCCTATCCACTAACTTTCATTAATAAACATACCTATTCTCCCGCTCCCTCCAATCCTCCCCCAGTCTTCAGGACTACCTGCATGTTGCCCTATTCTCCCTTAAAAGTTAGTATCTCCCGTCTCATCAGGCCATTTGGCATTCGCACCTTTTTCATTAATACCCCCAGTATCCACTCACTTCTCCGACACCCCATTACAAGAACTGGTACCCAACTCAGTCCTCTGGATTCTTCTGGGGCGGTCTACTCTGTCTCATGCGAACATTGTTCCGCCACTTATGTGGGTGAGACAGGTAGAACCGTCGCCATTAGAATGTCAGAACACACCCGCAACATTAATAACAACGACCCACGTTCCCTCATCTATCAGCATGTTGCATCCACTGGCCACTCTTTTAATACCAACCACCCCACTATCCATTACCGTAACATACCCAACCTACACCAAAGATTAATGTTAGAATCCATAGTATCCACCAAGCTTAAAAGCATAAATAGAAAAATAGAAATTCCTGAAATTTATGATATTTTTGTTTCAAGTTAATCTATTCCTTTTTTACATAGTTAAAAATCTAGTATACAACATCTTATTACCATATCAATACCATAGTTACTTATTAAAAATTAAAAATTCTTACTGCTAAGTTATAAAAATTGTTTATTATGTAAATCATCCCTTGTATATAGGTCGGTCTCTCGCCTTAATTTCTGTCAAACCTGTAGAAGGGCGTTTGCCCGAAAGCTCGTAACGTTTACAAATAAAAGATACCTATCTTCCATTTAATGATACGTTTATTCATAAAAATACTATTCGTTACAATTATAAATTGGCGCCGTGGATGTCTCTCTTGTGAAACGTCCCGCCCCAAACTGTGTGTGTCTTGAAAATATAAAAATAAAAATGTGAACGGAAAATATGTCCAGGGTAGCCTAGTGGTCATGGCATCTGCCCGGTAAGCGGAAGGTCGTGGGTTCGCGATTCCCATATCTTGACACTTTTTTATTTTATCCATTCTGACCAAAATCTATCCGTGAACTTCACACAGTGAACTTCACACAGAGAGAATAAGGCAATTATATAAGTAGATAATCCAAATTGTGCCTTATCACACACTATTTTTTTATTTGGCCTTATTACCTTGTGTTTATAATCTATGACGTAATGCCGGCGGCGCGCGCCCGTTGGCTGCCGGCTAGCACGTGACCTCCCTGTGCGCGCGCATCCGTGACAGAACCGGCCCATGACGGTCGTGACTATATATATGGACTAAACGAATGGCCCGGGCAACGCCCGGGTTTTACCCGAGTGCGTATATATTTTAAAAATGTTTTAATTAAAATACTATTCATTACAATTATAAATTAGCGCCGTGGATGTCTCTCTTGTGAAACGTCCCGCCCCAAACTGTGTGTGTCTTGAAAATATAAAAATAAAAATGTGAACGGAAAAATATGTCCAGGGTAGCCTAGTGGTCATGGCATCTGCCCGGTAAGCGGGAGGTCGTGGGTTCGATTCCCATCCCTTGACACTTTTTTTTATTTTATCCATTCTGACCAAAATCTATCCGTGAACTTCACACAGAGAGAATAAGGCAATTATATAAGTAGATAATCCAAATTGTGCCTTATCACACACTATTTTTTTATTTGGCCTTATTACCTTGTGTTTATAATCTATGACGTAATGCCGGCGGCGCGTGCCCGTTGGCTGCCGGCGAGCACGTGACCTCTTTGTGCGCGCGCATCCGTGACAGAACCGGCCCATGACGGTCGTGACTATATATATATGGATGGATAATAATAATAATATAATAATAATAATAATAATTATTATTATTATCATTAGATAATGATAATGATCATAATGATGATGCGCGCGCATCCGTGACAGAACCGGCCCATGACGGTCGTTACTATATATGTTGATAAATTGGCGCTGCGGATGTCTCTCTTGTGAAACGTCCCGCCCCAAACTGTGTGTGTCTTGAAAATATAAAAATAAAAATGTGAACGGTAAAATATGTCCAGGGTAGCCTAGTGGTCATGGCATCTGCCCGGTAAGCGGAAGGTCGTGGGTTCGATTCCCATCCCTTGACACTTTTTCATTTTATCCATTCTGACCAAAATCTATCCGTGAACTTCACACAGTGAACTTCACACAGAGAGAATAAGGCAATTATATAAGTAGATAATCCAAATTGTGCCTTATCACACACTATTTTTTTATTTGGCCTTATTACCATGTGTTTATAATCTATGACGTAATGCCAGCGGCGCGCGCCCGTTGGCTGCCGGCGAGCACGTGACCTCCCTGTGCGCGCGCATCCGTGACAGAACCGGCCCATGACGGTCGTGACTATATATGTTGATGGATAATAATAATAATATAATAATAATAATAATTATTATTATTATTATCATTAGATAGGGATAATGATCATAATGATGATGCGCGCGCATCCGTGACAGAACCCATGACGGTCGTGACTATATATGTTGATAATAATAATTATTATTATCATTAGATAATGATAATTATTATAATGATAAGCGCGCGCATCCGTGACAGAGGCCAGGTAGGTCGTGACTATATATGTTGATAATAATAATTATCATTAGATAATGATAATGATCATAATGATGATGCGCGCGCATCCGTGACAGAGACCAGGAAAGACGGTCGTGACTATATATGTTGATAATAATAATAATTAACATTAGATAATGATAATGATCATAATGATGAAGCGCGCGCATCCGTGACAGAGGCCATGACGGTCGTGTCTATATATAGGAATATAATAATAATAATAATAATAATAATTATTATTATTATTATTATCATTAGATAATGATAATGATCATAATGATGATGCGCGCGCATCCGTGACAGAACCGGCCGGCCAGCCGGCCCATGATGGTCGTGACTATATATAGGGACTAGACGAATGGCCCGGGCAACGCCCGGGTTTTACCCGAGTGCGTATATATTTTAAAACGTTTTATTTCAAATACTATTCGTTACAATTATGAATTGGCGCCGTGGATGTCTCTCTTGTGAAACGTCCCGCCCCAAACTGTGTGTGTTGTGTGTGTCTTGAAAATATAAAAATAAAAATGTGAATTTTCATAAAGATTTCATCATGTCGATTTTTTTTTTTTTTTGCATTTCACCTACTAAATCGATAGAGATAATTACATTTGCAACATGAACTTAGGTATATTGACTAAATAGAAAACTGCATAGTAATAAAGATCATTTTTTAAAGGCACCATATCGTTTTTTTTATTCAATAAAATCGAAACAAAAATTAACGATAAATAACGATAATTGCCTTAAAAAGAAATTGCCATAAAAAAAAGAAACATTCGCGGTGATTTTGTCTTGCATTCGTTTATACAATTATTATTATATATGAATGACCCCCGGGCAACGCCCGGGTTTTACCCGATTAAATGCTTTTATTCAAATACTATTCGTTACAATTATAAATTGGCGCCGTGGATGTCATTCTTGTATAATATATAAATGAGTTTTAAAAATTGTAAAAAAAAAAAAAAATGCATCGGCCGGGAATTGAACCCGGGATGCCCGCGTGGCAGGCGAGCATTCTACCACTGAACCACCGATGGTTATGAAAATTCCATCCGTGAGCTTCAGACAAACAAACAGACAGAATAAGGCAAATATATAAGTAGATTTACTCTTCATTGTTGGCTTTTTATCTTACATTCATTCTTCATAGTTGGCTTTTTATATTACATTTACTCTTCATTGTTGGCTTTTTATCTTTCATTCATTCTTCATTGTTGGCTTTTTATATCATATTTACTCTTCATTGTTGGCTTTTTATCTTACATTCATTCTTCATTTTTGGCTTTTTATATTATATTTACTCTTCATTGTTGGCTTTTTATCTTACATTCACTCTTCATTGTTGGCTTTTTATATTATATTTACTCTTCATTGTTGGCTTTTTATCTTTCATTCATTCTTCATTGTTGGCTTTTTATATCATATTTACTTTTCATTGTTGGCTTTTTATCTTACATTCATTCTTCATTTTTGGCTTTTTATATTTCATTTACTCTTCATTGTTGCCTTTTTATCTTACATTTATTCTTCAATGTTGGCTTTTTATATTATATTTACTCTTCATTGTTGGCTTTTATCTTACATTTATTCTTCATTGTTGGCTTTTTATATTACATTTACTCTTTATTGTTGGCTTTTTATCTTACATTCATTCTTCATTGTTGGCTTTTTATATCATATTTACTCTTCATTGTTGGCTTTTTATCTTACATTCATTCTTCATTGTTGGCTTTTTATATTATACTAATGATGATGCGCGCGCATCCGTGACAGAACCGGCCGGCCCATGACGGTCGTGACTATATATGTTGATATTCCAAATTGTACCTTATCAGTAGATTTGGTCTTATTACCTTCTAATCTATAATCCAAATTATTTGGATAATGATAATGATCATAATTATGATGCGCGCGCATCCGTGACAGAACCGGCCGGCCGGCCCGCCCGCCCGCCCGCCCATGACGGTCGTGACTATATATGTTGACTAGACGAATGGCCCGGGCAACGCCTGGGTTTTACCCGAGTGCGTATATATTTTAAAAACGTTTTAATTCAAATACTATTCGTTACAATTATAAATTGGCGCCATGGATGTCACTCTTGTGAAACGTCCTGTTCCAAACTGTGTGTTTTTAAAACGTTTTAATTAAAATACTATTCGTTACAATTATAAATTGGCGCCGTGGATGTCTCTCTTGTGAAACGTCCCGCCCAAAACTGTGTGTATCTTGAAAATATATAAAAATAAAAATGTGAACGGAAAAATATGTCCAGGGTAGCCTAGTGGTCATGGCATCTGCCCGGTAAGCGGAAGGTCGTGGGTTCGATTCCCATCCCTTGACACTTTTTTTTATTTCATCCATTCTGACCAAAATCTATCCGTGAACTTCACACAGTGAACTTCACACAGACAGAATAAGGCAATTATATAAGTAGATAATCCAAATTGTGCCTTATCACACACTATTTTTTTATTTGGCCTTATTACCTTGTGTTTATAATCTATGACGTAATGCCGGCGGCGCGCGCCCGTTGGCTGCCGGCGAGCACGTGACAACCCTGTGCGCGCGCATCCGTGACAGAACCGGCCCATGACGGTTGTGACTATATATATATAGACGAATGACCCGGGCAACGCCCGTGTTTTACCCGATTGAATGTTTTTATTCCAATACTATTTGTTACAATATTAAATTGGAGCCGTGGATGTCACTCTTGTGAAACGTCCCGCTCCAAACTTTACATGTACATTAGGTCAGCTGGTATTACCCCTCATTTTCACCGCTAGAGGCGCGAGCGAATTGACTTTTGTAAATATACATAATTATAAAGATAGAAGCTTCTATAGAAGATAATGATCATAATGATGATGCGCGCGCATCCGTGACAGCGATGAGGAATTGAGGAAAGACGGTCGTGACTATATATTAATGTTGACGAATGACCCGGGCAACGCCCGGGTTTTACCCGATTAAATGTTTTTATTCAAATACTATTCGTTACAATTATAAATTGGCGCCGTGGATGTCACACTTGTGAAACGTCCCGCTGCAAACTTTGTGTCTGAGAAGCGATATTTTTATAGAAAGATGATCTGGCTTTTGTTTTCTGCTCGAATGAATTTTTTTCTGTTAGAATTTTGTTCCTGCGTACAAAATAATGAACTGGTTTCACCCGTGGTCTCTGCTTTTTGGAATTTTTCCCGATATAATTTTGTATCTGATAATCAAACATGATACAGCAATATCGTCATCATCATTTTCTGACTAAAAATATATAGTTTTAATAATTAATTAATATATTATTTAAAATAGCCTATCGTCTCCCCGTATTTTTTTACCTATGTATGGACATTTTGGTTTGAATTAGTGAACTACTGCGAATTTGTATACTGGACA